ATTAATATAAACATTTTTTTCAGAATATAGATGTCTTTATCTGAGAAGGCTTTAGATAATGAGCATCACAGAACATCCTGTCTCCAGAATACAGCAGACTATAAGCTTGGAGCTATGTCAGTCAAATGCTGTGCTATCATTTGATGAAATAATAAGCAGGAGTTTACATGTACTGGATGACTTTTAGAGGCTGGTCACTATACATTTGAAGTCTTTGGAACTGAACAAATTCTAGAGTGTTAAAACTTTAAAGACAGCAATTTTAATAATCCTGTCAACATAATTCTGTTGTTAAAAAAACAGTTGAGACTGATTAGCCTACTTCTATTGAAAGAGAAGCACAAGGTCTATATCTTTAGATCTTTTATTGAACTGCAAGCACAGCATCAATAACTGCTTCTCAGCTGTAAATGAAAATTGATTCCAGGTTTAACTCTTCATTTTCAGGGGTTCCTTTAATCCCAAGAAACATGAGAAGAAAAATTTGACAAAAAACAAATAAACAAACAAAACCCGGAAGCAGTAGATTCAATCACATGAGGCAGGACTATGCAGAGAACATGACATATCCCTATTTTTAAGGAGCTCATCCTCTTGAATCCAACTACTCCCTGACTGAACCCCAGTGAACTGATCACAGCACTACTTTCTGTCCTGAATGACTGACTTGAAAATGGTAATTCAATAAGTTTTTTAAGGGGAAGGCCAGAGATGGAAATATATCTCAAATGTGAAAAATCCCAAATGACAAGTGAAAATTCAAACAGCTGGTGATGGACATCATGTTAATCCCCCATTCAAAACCTTCCATTGATATCCACCTGGTGATGGACATCATGTTACTCCCCCATTCAAAACCTTCGATTGATATCCACCTGGTTAGTTTCTTTCTTTTAAACACGTATTGCAACAGAAATGTTCACACAAAAACTAAATACAAAGCATTGTTTCTTATACCAAGACTCTTCTGAAACTTTGTAATGTCTAATATGAACTTAAAATGGTATTTCTGTCTTATTTGGGGTTAGTTTCCACAAAGAAAGCAATGGGAATAAAGCATTCCAGGAGAGCCTTTCATCCTTTTTGTTTTCCCTGGGGCAGAGCAGAAGCTATCTCAAAAAAATGAAGAGAAAAACTGAATTCAAAGTGTATGGTTCAACTGTCCATCTATATCAGTCCTTTTAAGCAAAGCTTCCAGAGACACGTACTTTTCTGGAGGACTTGATACAGTGCCATTGATGACCTAACCTTTAATTCCTGGAGATGCTGGCTTAACAGTTGCCAGGGCCTAGGGGAGTAAAGGTCATCCACACCTGACACATACCTTTAAATGCTAGTTAGAACATTCAATCTAGTTCTTAGCAAATCCTATGAACACCTAAGCCAAAATGAAGAGTAAGGTCTATTCTCTTGTATATCTAAGAGGGAACTGTAGCCAACAGGCTACGAGGAAGAATATCCACATATTTGTCATACTTAAAGTTTTCCGCATGCTTTCTCATAGCTAATTTTCCCTCAAAACACTTCTATGAATTAGACAAGATTGTTTAATTCTAATTTACTAATGAGAAATGTGAGACTTAAGGATATTTGGCAATTTCCCCAAATGTAATATAATTAGTATCTATGAAGTAGGTCTTATTACCAGGCTTATCCAGTTCAGAAACTACAGACTTAAAGATTATGCTTTTAAGTTCACACAGCTAATAAATATGAAGGAAAGACAGATTCTTTTCATTCAAGTTTGCCACATGCTGACTATTCTTATGTACCTAATTCAGTAGTTCTCTTTAACTTTCCATTATTCACAGTAAAAGGGAAAGTAGATAGACCTAGTATTTAAAAAAATACTAGACTTTTTATATCATCAGACATAGCCATAACAATGATGAATATTATTATAAAGTGATGAACAGCTGTTATGCCCTAAAGCTTTAGTGTGTCAAGTCCTTTGATATATATTGGTCCACTTCTTCATTGAATCAACTATGACACAATGAATAGGTACTACTGTTATCATTACTTTATAGAAACTAGACAGTTTGCTAAAACTCATTTAGTTTGAAAGTGGTAACACTAGCATTAAAACCGGCATCTGTTTGAATGTAAGGCTATCTCCATAGTTATTCATCAATAGTGTCTTAGCATGAGAAATCCATGTCGTCTCTCAAAGTCTTTATTAAGAAGTGAACTGCAATAGGAATATGGAAAAAACATCTGTGTTTTCATTTTCTTTCTGTGTATGTATTGTATATGTTCTTGACATTGCTGGAGATAGAATAGTGCCAAAAATGAGACAAATTAATAATGCCATATCATTTACATGGCCCTATATTAGGCAGATGAAAACAATGTCTGTGGTTCCTTTATAAGACAAACATAAAAAAGACCCAGTTGTTGAAATGACCAGTCTAGCTAAAGATAAAACAATTATATTTTTTATTTATTATAACTCAAAAACTCAAAAAACAGGAAATGAGAAGTCCAAGCACAGCAGTGTCCCAGGTATCCCAGGAGAAATGGCAGAGAGAGAGAGAGAGAGAGAGAGAGAGAGAGAGAGAGAGAGAGAGAACCTGGCCACACACATTTTTCTCCTTGTCCCAGGAAGCCTTAACTAAAACCCATCTCTCAAAAACAATTGGCTAACAAGGTTCCCCATCACCCAATGATTATGTTTCTTTTTCCATGCTAAAAAGAGTCAATACAAATGTTCATAAAAATATTTGCCCTTAAGTACTCACAACAGCACAAAATAGCTAAAGAGCAGACATGACTGAAATATCATCAATAGATAAGTATATAAGCAAAATGTGCTTCATCCAAACAATGGAATATTATTTTGCCATATAACTAAATGAAGTGTTACTATATGGTACAACCTGAAATAACTTAGAAAGAAATCATTATGGTAAGTGAAGCCAGACATTAAAAGGATTGAACATCATAGCATTCCATTATAGGGATAGGCAAATCCATGAGGACAAAAACTAGATTAGTGAAGTATCCTCAGGGATTAAGGGAAAGGAGGATTGAGCATATTTCACAGGTATAGAGTTTTCATTTGGGATAATGAAAATATTTGGGGATTGGTGATAGATGTGCAAGTTTGTCAATATACTGAATGTCACTAAACTTTGAGTTTATAAATAATTTGTGCTGTGTAATATTTAGTAATAAAAAGGAAAACAGCTTTAAATCATATAGTATTGGGAAAGAATGGTAAGCCTTATAAATCCAAATGTTCACCAAATGTTGTTATTACTACTAAATTACTATAGCCTTCCAAGTCTCTTAACTTGTCCTCAAAATTCTGCAAAGTGGCTCATCTGTGAATACCTGCAGCCTTGTGAATACTTCTATTTCATGAACTCAACTATATTATTTTGTTGTATTGTGTGGTTCTATCATTTCAAATTCTCTGTTGAATAGAAGAAGTTTAGCTACGTCTGATCAGAGGGCAGTCTACTTCCAACTCATCATTCTGTATCAGCACTTGGTATAATGTCAGCAAAGTTATCTCAGAAACTAAGATGATACCACTTCTTAACATAATACAAAAAATAATCCTATGACTTACAAGGCAAAGTGTATTTATATATTCACATAGAGAGGAAATAAATGTGAAAAATTTACTCTCAGTTATTGCTACGTTCTCATCTAAACATTTCCATTAAAATTTAAGGTTGCAGCGGTCAAAATCAATGATGTTGAATTTTTGCTTTGCTTTTGATTTGTTTACAAATGTGATGCTTTTGTTATTGGCATAGTAAATGTAGAAAGCAGAAATGACAGACATTGGAAATGAAGTGTGTGTTTCACATTTGTTATGAAGCTCACACGACAGATGACTGCTTGTACTTGGTAAATGCACAGCAAGCACCTTGGAAACAGTTGTCAGTTTGTGAGCGCACAGTTAGTAATTTCCTTGCATTTGTTCTTGATAGGCCACTAAACTTGCAATTATGCAATATTTTATATCATCAAAACTGCCTTCTGCACTCCATATTTGGTGGCATAACAACCAGAAGAATTAACCTTTTGGAAACTGTACAGGGATCATTTATATTATACACCATTGCTGGTACTTATAATGTTATTTTACTTGCTAAAATCAAGAAGTTCAGTCTCACCTGAAATAATATTTAAAAAAGAGTGTAGTCCTTTTATCTGGGGAGATAGTATTGGAAATGCTTGTAGTATAGAACAGAAGAAATCAAGGACAACTGAAAGCTCTTGCTAAATGCACGTTGCTGCAGCATTCATTCCCAATTCCACTGTGTATCTTGGAGAAGAAAATGGACCAGTCACATTTACACCAAAATTAACGACTTTAAATGCTAAGCTTCACTCTGGAGTCATCCAATGGACATGACATGACATCCAAATACAGCAAGTAGTTCAAAACACATAGAGATGATACTCTCTATTGCTCATTGATAAACAATATTTGTGCATAGAAAATAGAGAGATAGAAGACGTGATTTAACCAGATTCTTGGAATTTGGCCGGATTCTCTGAATGTGGCTGGCCCGAAGTCTTTCTGAAAAGCCATTGACTATGATACTGGGACTTGTTTCCTCTGCATATACTGGATTTTGGGGATCCAGTCTGTTTGGATACTCACCTGCCTGGACCTGGAGGGAGGGGGGAGGAACTTGAACTTCCCACAGGGCAGGAAACCCTGACTGCCCTAAGGGATGAAGAGGGAGGAGGAGAGGGAGTGGGGGGAGTGGAAGGGTGGTGGGAGGAGGGGCGGAAATGGAAACTTTTATAATTTAATAAAATTACTTAAAAAAAAAAGAAATTGGTTTTGAAGAACACAACATCTACTTTAGTATAACTTTAATGAAAGTGGCAGTTAATTTCACCTGTTCCCAAACACTGATCACCTTTGTTTCTTTCTCTTCCTGCAAAGGAAAGAGGTTGTGTTTATGAAAGCCAACATATTCCCTTGTGGTTCCCCATTTTAGGCCTAATGCAAAGCTCTAAGCTCCTCCTACCTGATAGAGCTCGTTGGCTGTGCATTGAGTGGTCAAGGTCTTGACAGGCTCAAGATCATCTTCATCACTGCTCAGCTTCAAGTCATCCTCAAGCATCCTGAAAGAAATCAGAGTAGTATCTGTGTTACAAAAAATCTTGTCTAAATTATTCTCAGTTCCATCTTGCAATAAGAATAAAACTATTATTACTATAATCTCACAGCTGCAATTCTGTCAAAAGTGCGGAGGGAACCAAGATTCTTTCAGCTAATTGGATATCTGAGTTCTTTTAGTTATGTCATACACTGCATACATATCTTCTTTATCTTACCCTAAATCAGGGGAGGAAAAAATGATTTCTCCATCTCCAGAGATGGCAGGAGTTTATATATTTTGACTATTAAAGGTATGATAAATGTTCTAGTCAATCATTATCTGGCGATGGGGGATTGCATCTCTATAGGATGTTTTTCTGACTCTTCCAAGGAGGAAGGCAGGCATGATAACAGTGCTAGGATTCTGTGGGGGCTCTTGGGTTAGACTGCTGGGGCTCTCTGTATGAGAGAGGTTGAGTGTGCTGGGTAGTTAATTCACTGACAACAAAAGAACAGAGCAAGAAATGGCTAGTCATTAACTTTTTGCTATATTATCCATCTCTTGCAGTAAAATTTGATCCACAAGATTTAAACTCATGTTGTGCATAAGAAATTGTTTTTTCCTAAAGCAAGGCATCTGAAAAATATGAGCGGTCTAGACTTTGGTAATGAATGGGCACTTTCAAGACTGTTTGGTGGCCACACAACGTCTTTAGTTTTGACAGAAGTATTTATTTGTGTGTTATCTCTCCCTACAATCCAGTTATAACAGGAAGAGAAGCTTATTTCCTTAAAATTTCAGCCACAGAGGCTTTAAAGACCAATTTGTATTCATCTTTTAATTGATTAATTATGAGTTTAGACCTCAATAGAATGCAAGTGGAAGGATTCTCAACCATTCTGGACCAGTTCCCGACTCTCAGGCATGATGCTTTGTTCTTTTTTTTTTCTTCTTTTCTTTTCTTTTCTTTTCTTTTCTTTCCTTTCCTTTCCTTTCCTTTCCTTTCCTTTCCTTTCCTTTTCTTTTCTTTTCTTTTCTTTTCTTTTCTTTTCTTTTCTTTTCTTTTCTGTTCTGCCCTGTTCTTTCCTGTTCTTCTTTCTTCCTGGGTTAGCATCAAGCTTAACTCTAAATCCAAAATTCTTTTCCTCAACTCTGGAAATCATATACTGTGCCCTTGCATGGCTCACTCAGACATTATTCCCTCTACAAAAGTTTTCTATAAAGAATAACCATTACAAAGAATCTGTTTCCTCTGTCAGTTCCCTAAACTGTGTCTGATGACAGCACAGTTTGTCACGGCGCTTCCCTCATTACCACCAGTCCTTAACTCTCATGTGGGTGACAGGGCACACTTGATTCACTTCCATCTTCTTTAGAGCATGTTTCCAAATAGGACAGAGTCCACCAGCTTCATTTTGTATACAAGGAAGGAAAGTTTCAGATAGGTGAACTATTTACTCAAGGTCACACAGATAGTACAACATCCATGCTTAAACTCCCATTTCTGAATTCACATCTGTATTATGTATCTATGAGAAGGAAGAGAGAGAGGGAAATGCAGCTTCTAGTTTGATTTAGCATGGAATGTTGTTTTAGGGGTCTTGTTCAAGTGTTGCAAAGGGCTTCACATCACAGTGAGAATGCAATAATTCTCCAAAGAAACCATAGCTCCCCCACTCCCATACTCAACCACGTAAGCCCAGAATGCAGATGTTAAGGTCAAAACAACAACAATTGATATAAAGAATGATTGATGAAGACAATTATTTGAGTTAGTTTTAGATAAACTAATTTTACATGGTTTATGACTGTACTGCAAACAACTAATAGCTTTTTTGAAGATCTTAGAAGAAAAAATATGTATCTTGATATTTCTTTTGAAGTTTTGAGTTTATAGTTCTAAACAAGTAGTTCTTTACAATGCATTCCAGGAAATGAAGCCTGTATATTGGATCACTTTTACAAGCTACAGAATCAAAATATTTTTAAATTATCTGTGTTTCCAATTGTAAATTGTTCTTCTCTGTGTGTTCATGTGTATATGTATGTGTCAAGGTGGTCAGCACAATAAATGACACAAGATTCATCCATTTATAGTGGTTATTTTTATGAGTCAAGTAAAGTGCTAAGTATTTGATCTGGGTCACAGAATTTAACATCCACAAGGAGTCTATGATGGAAATCTGTTGCTAGCAATGCTTTCTAAATGAGCTTTATAGATGTTATAAAATGTGCTTATGACTACACAAGTAGAAGTCATGAAGACAAATTTGGGACCCAAACCATCTGCAGACACAATTTAGGAGTACATGTTTTCCTAGAGGACACAAATTATAAAATATGGTACATGAAATCATATCAGCAATAAGAACAAAATGAGCTCACAAATGACATTAACATGAAATGACTACTGGCTAATCATAGGCTCTGACATTTCGTGGAATCATTATGACCTCTGAGCCACATGTGCATCACTCATTTTCCAATGGGCTAGACTTTGGTTGTGAGCACTGGAATCACAACTGGAGCTAATGGTGAAAATACTCCACAAAATCATATAATGGATCTAGGCAATTATTCATTTGGAAAGATGGTGAGAAAAATAATAGGAATTATTAATATTATAAAGTTTCTATAAAGGAAAGCTTCTGTATTCCTGCACTTCTACCATTTGAATTTGCTGAATAATCTGCGGGCAAACAATGGTCATTCAGGAAATTTCTAATAGTATCTCAAAAGTGGATCTACAAATGAGGGCATGATTTTTAAGGTTACTTTCCTTCACATAGAATGAGCAAATTTGGGCAGAAGTACAAATTTAGGTTATTTTACTTCCTAGACAATTGTCTATGATTTTACCATGGAAATAAAATAGTCTCTAATTTATAATTCTGAAAATGGTCAGCTATCGATACCATTCTGTTCTTTCAGAAAATCCTGCAGGTTTGAAGTTATTCTATGCTTTCCAATGTCTTCTACCTGCTTGTCTTATGGATGTTGGGTATTCTCACAGTCCTGAATGGGGCTGTTCACTCAGCTCCCCTTCCCTGAGTGAGGATGTTCACTCAGGTTTTAAAGTTTCAGCTAAAGTTAAGAGCCAGAGCCTCTGGACCATTTAACTATTTTTGGGTCTTCCGATTACTTAGATTGTCATTGCCATCCTGAATATGCAGAGCTGATGGCAATCAGAGTAAGATCCAGATAGCTTCAGTTGCATTTCACAGCTGGGCTTTGGAGTAATTGTATAATCCAAAGAGTCAAGGGATACTTGAAGACTTATGCCTTCTCATCAGAGTCTTCCTGTATACCATCTTCTAGAATAGTAATTTGGCTTACTATTTAAAAGACCTTTCTTCTTAACAAGCAAACAGAAAGGAATGTGATATAAGCAGTTTAATATTACTTAGGAAATTGTATATTTGTCATACTTAGTGGTCTGTATTCTACGTAACACTAACGTGTTGGTTGGTAGAGAGATAGGTAGCTAATTAAGAAGTGGCAATATTTTTCAGAATATCAAGTTTCCCAGGGTAACTTTTCCTGAGGCTTTCACCAATATCTTACAAGGAGCTTCATCTAATTTTTGAGATTTTAAATTTCCTGAGACTTTCCCTGATATCTTACAAGGAGTTTCATCTAATTTCTGAGATTTTAAATTATGTTTCTGATTCAATGATTATCTCACTGGGAATCTTCAGCTTGAGAATCATAACAATTGGTCATTGGTTTGAAAACTTGTATTATATTCTATGGGAATCTCCAAAAATCTACCAAGTGGGGACAAGTGCCTCAAACAAGACCCACAGCCTGTGTCTGTGCCAGACACAGACAAAGTAGATCTTGCACCTACTATGTGCATATAGACACAGGAAAGATGGTATTGAATAGTTTAGCTTATGGCTTGCTACAAATTTCAGAAAATAGGTAACTTCAAATATTTTGGTGGTTTAGCATAAGAATAAAGAGTTTTCTCCTAGAGGCTATCTAGTCCAGACCTCTCTATGTCTCTGTACTGAGCATGAGTCATGAACATGTTGTTAAATGGGTAGGAGAAAAAATAGCATTTCATAGCACAGGAAAATTATATGGAAATTAGATTTCAGTTTTTAAAAGTACAATTTTATTGGCACACAACCATCCCATTCATTACGTATTGGTTCTAGCTGCTTAGATGTCACAATGGTCAAGCTGACTAGTTGCAACAAAGATGAAAACAAGTAATATTTGCCTTTGTTGAAAAAAATGTTTTCTGATCTTCCATGTAAAGTCAGTGTTTTTCAAATTTTTAAGGGAAAAATCATTCCTATGCCAAATGAAATCTTCTGTGGAATTCCAAGTAAAAATAGATAAAAACAGGACTTCCTTAGATAACCTCAGAGATAAGTAGAACATGTTTAAAGCAAGTTCATTTAGTAAAGTTTTATTTTATGGAGATAATATAGCTTTATATGTACTTCATAAAATTTATTCAGAAAACTCGACTTTGTTATTTCAGTTCCCTGGACCTCGGTTTACTCTTTTGCTCAATGAGGATAAAATATGTGTCTCAGAGATTTAGTTACTATTGATGATATGTATACCAGGATGCCTGAAAAGCAGTGGCTGTACTCATCCTTTTCTAAGTATAGGAGTCTTTATATCTATCCTGTTACATTAGCCAAAGTCAGTAGTATGAAATCTGACATGAATGACTGCTGTTGTGTACCAAAATGTCATCTCATGAGCCTTGAAGTTTCTTAAAACTGATTACATAAATTCAGAATAAGTTCAAATTTCCTGCTCTATGGTCATTATTTCAAATCTGACTTTCATCTTACTGCTATTTTTCTTTGGGTTGCATAATTTTCTACCAGTTATCATGCAAATATAAACTGCCCAAAAGCCATGTAGATTGCTTCAAGATCTTTCAGGGTTCTTTCTTCTCTTCCTTCTCTCCTGTCCTCTTTTCTTCTTTCGTTTAGTTTTCTTCTCCTTCCCCTTCTTCTATTCTTTCTCCTTTTTCTTTTTCTTTCTCCTTCTCCT